CAAATTAAGTGTTCAATTCAAGTGTTAAAGATTTATAAGTAGCATGTTTTGAAAGTTTCAGTTCTGAATTAGAGAATATTTTCTATAACAAAGTTCTTCATTTTACTGCATGTTTCCTTGAGAATGGCTTCCAGAGTATCTAAATTTGATCAAAACAGAACCCCCTCCCTTTTTTTGAAAAAAAAAAAAAATGGAAAAAATTCTTTGATGGGTTACATATATTAGGCGCTTTTGTACTATGGCAGAATCCAGAAACACTGCATTTAAAAGCAGCTTCAGTTGGTCTGAAAATTCAACATTCAATGAGCCAATTGCAGTTGGATTTTATAACAACCATTTCATAATTTTTTGTGAAGAAATTTTATTTTCTTTTTGATTTTATAGCACGTATTTCTTTATGCCTTTGAGAAAATACATGTTGTTTCAGTCATCCTTTATGCTATCCACAACTGAAAAGTTTTTGTTGGTAGAGTGAAATGCATGATTAACAAAAATTTTAGATACTTTAATGAATGAAAATTCTCTAGAATATGAGTCTTCAATTTCTGATTTCCATTTTTATGAATAAATTTCTGGCTTCATTTTTTTAACCTCATATTCTAAGGCAGCATAATTGAGAAACTTAAAAAACTTTCAGTTTAATCACAACTCACAAGAAGCCCATGCTACATTTTCTCACCATTATACACTCAAACAGGACCATCAGGGTAAACAAGCCCTGCAGGGTGCTTGATGAAAAGATAAGGCATCAGAATATGCTGATCTATTACTGACTACTTTTAAAAACCAGCAACATCATCAACTTAATACATGACATCACGAGCATTTCACTAGCCATCCCTTTCACTTAACTAGTCCATGAGCATTTCACTAGTCAAGATAATAAAAAATGGATGATTTTAACCAAAAAATATAATTATCTGGTAAAACACTGTGTTCTACATAAAAAATAAAAAAAAAATTATTTTTCACAGAACTTTAATTTTAAATTATGTTATGGAAAATTTTGCAGAAGCAAAATTAAGATTTTTTAGTTTACAGTAATTTAATCTTAATAAATCACACTTAAGAGGAAAATTTCATAAATGGATAAATTTTAAATATAGTTTGTCCATATGAAACACAATAATATAGAACTGAAAAAGGGTAAAAAACATAAATGAGATACAGTCAAAAGTCTTTAATCCGGACTCGCCGGGACTTTGGCGATTCCAGATTATCGGTTTTTCCGGATTATAGATCAACAATTTAAATCTGATAAGATGACATGCAGAAATTATAAAATTAAAAATATGAAACCGTAATTTATGAAATAAAGAGCAATTATGATCTAAAAGGTATCAAAATTTACGGAAAAAAAATTAATATTTATTTGTTTACTTTATTAAACATTTCTTTCAACGCGTGCATGCGTAAAGCATACATTACGCATAATCGAAATTAGAAAATTGCAACCAGAAAACTATTTGATGTGTATTCGTGATATTTATAATGACGAGAAATTTGATTTAAATCATATCAAAGACGGAGTATATCGAGATGAAATGCTACATTTTTAGTAAGGAATTATAAGCCAAATAAAATAAAAACATCTGCCCTTAAGATAAGGATAATAGAGATCAGCCGTTACCAGCAGCGAACATGTCACATCATTCAGAATTAGCTTCCAAATTGGATGAATGAACCAGGATTAATTTTCTGACAGCAAGATGTTGCACTCCAATTAGTTGCACCACTCACTGCGTGACATGCATGATGATAAAGCAATTTTGCTCAAAGCAGTCACAAAATGGTGTGTGTTTTTTTAGAATAGGTGTATGGTTGGTATGTAGATTTTAATGGTCGGCCGTACTCAAGTTTATGAAAGAATATGAAAGGCAAACTTGTGAAAATACAATATTATTTTAACAAAGAAGTCGAAACTGTGAAGCAATAACCATTATTATGAGTTGGATGGAAATTCTTTGAATAAGGTGCGACAGATCAGGGCTGTGGAATCGGAGTCAGGCAGATTTTCGAGTAAAAGGAGTCGGAGCTGGATTTGCTAAAAACACTTCGACTCCAACTCTAGTTTATGTTAGACAGTTTGAATTTGAAATGAAATTAAAGTGAATTGAAAAAAAAAAATTTAATGAAAAAATGAGTTATTACTTTTATTTATGGACTATTTACATTAATAAATAGTTATTTTCTATTTTATTGACAAACTAATAAATAAATATAAAGGTGGAGGGTGGATGTAATATTTGCCCTTATTGATTAAACTGATTCATTTAGTTACAAATCTCACTGGTAAATTTAGATAAGCAGCATAAACTCTCAAAATTGATTCCATTCTTAGGAAGCAAGCAGGAAAAGGAGCAAATCTTGATCAAGCAATGCAATGAGAAGTACATATTTGATGATATAACGGTTGTTAGAATTAAGAACTTTTTTAGAAGGTGTAGATAACCCTAATGTTTCACTAACAGAAAAACTGTGAAATGATCTTGAAGAATTGGAAACTCTTCGTTCTACACTGTATATATCCACAAAAAGGCTTCAATCTGAAGAATTAACAGGAGGCGAGAATGGAAGAATATGATGTTTGTTCTTTCTGAAATGGAGGGTTTATTGTAGAAGAAATCATTTCTTCAATGAAGAAAAGAGAAACTAGTTTGCTAGAAAATGAGATCTTGCTAGGTTCAATATATGTAGATCTAAAATACTGAATTTTGTTGCATGATGAACACATTAAAAAGGCAAAGAAAGCCATCTATGAGCTTTCATTAAGAATGAAATAATTCTAAGAACAAATGGAGTCTTCAAATAACAACAAGCAAACTGCAGACATTGCAACTGAGTTTCTATCACCTTCCTCCAGTGATGAATTAGATTTTGAGAAATATTTGGATAATATCGAAAAGGCTACGGCAAAGCGAATGAAAATGAAGAATCAAGAGTCTTTAGATATACACATGAAAAAATACAAACAAGATTTCTATACGGCCTTTGAAGAAATGTGATTGCTCTTGCAAGGCACCTCTTTTCGAACTTATAAAAATCTATCCTGAAAAGTTAAAAGAAGTAGCCCTAACAGTAACAGCTCTTCGTCCTACTCAAGTCAGTGTGGAAAGACTCTTCTCAGCTCTTAAGTTTATCCAATCGGATCTATGGTCCTTTATCAAAGAAGAACTTGCCGAAGCTATACTGCTTCTTAGAAATTACTAATGACAGTTTTTCAATTTTGTAATAAAAGCTAATTAATATAAGTAATTTGTTATGACATCAATTTTGTTTCTGTAGCATCTATTACTTTTTTTATATTAAAAAATAAGCTGCAACCCATGTGTATATGTTTACATATATATGAGGGAGTCGGAGTCGTTCATTTTACCTACCGACTCCAAAGCCCAGTGACAGATCACACAAAGATAAGAAATTCATATGTACATTCCCCTCACAGTCTCTGAGCTATTACAAGGTGAGATCATGCTCTGGCACTGCAGAATCAATAATTTTTTCAATGCCATCATTTGACATTTCAAAATCATAACTTCATGAAATTTGTCAAATGGATTTTTCATAATTTTCCAAAATACAAAGGAATCCCTATTTTTGAAAATTCTCGAAAAATATATTTCTTCAAGAATGAGAGTTATTAAGACATTAATTAACCAATCAATATTTCAAAATAGAGGAAGGAAAAAATAGTATATACGAGGGCCATCCAGGAAGTAGATTACGTTTCCGTCTGTGTCCGCTAGGGGCGGGGCTAGCGCGGCCATCTTGGGGTCAGAGCGTTGCGCAGCTCAGTCTGCATCTAGCCGTGCTAGTGAGAGGTTCGTGCTGTGCTCCGTTCAGATACTGTGACGGTTTGAAATGTCTGCGTTAATTGAAAATCCCGCGAGCTGCGAGGTGCGCTCAGTAATAAGGTTTCTGACTGCAAAAAGCTGTAAACCGATAGAAATCTATCGGCAGCTTCGTGAAGTGTATGGGGACAACATTATCACTGAAGGTGGAGTGCGTCAGTGGGTCATAAGATTTCAAAATGGCCGAACCAATGTTCACGACGAAGATCGAAGTGGGAGACCCAGCATAGTGACCGCCGAACTTCTCGAAAAAGGTCGATGCTAAAGTCCGTGAAAATCGAAATTTCACAATAACGGAACTTTCTTTGAGTTTTCCACAAATTTCGCGAAGTTTGTTGCACGAAATCATCAGCGAAAAGCTTGGTTACCACAAGTTTTGTGCAAGATGGATTCCAAAAATCTTGACAGAGGACCACAAAAATCAGCGAATGGCTGCAGCGTTGAACTTTTTGGACGCTTACCATAAGGATGGTGACTCTTTACTCGATCGCATCGTTACTGGTGACGAAACATGGGTGAAACATGTGAACTGTGAAACGAAATTGCAATCAATGCGTTTTGATGACGACGCACAGCTGCAAGAAGAGGTAACGAAGTGGTTGAAGGCGCAGGCGGCCAATTTTTCGACGAAGGAATTTCCAAGCTCGTACATCGCTACGATAAATGCCTTAATTTGTATGGTGACTATGTAGAAAAGTAGTATTTGAGTGTGGCTTTCATCTGTATATAATAAAATTTGTTTCCTATTGTTTATTTTTTTATTCCAAAACGTAATCTACTTTCTGGATAGCCCTCGTATATATATACATTAATTACGCAAGAGTATATGAGAATACTTCATTAAATGCAGTTTAATGAAGAGAAAGATATTTAAGTAAATACTTGCCATTTCTTAAACAATAGTCTATTATAACAACCACCATAAATAGATGATAATAACCACCATAAATAGATAATCCATATAATAACAAAATAACTAAGAATATTTAAATTATTTAGTTCCCATTTTGAAATGTTATTTACATTTTCATCAGAAATCAAAATATAACTTTCTATTAAAATACAACATACAATGTAGCCTTTTAATTGATAAAACAGAAAAAAATATTATTATGGAGAAATATAATAAAAAAATTTAAAGTAGTTTACCCCTTTCATAATATTAATGGTACATGACTGATCAGTTGCTATATTCAATAAAAGTCTTGTTAAATAGACAGACTGTGTAAAATCTGAAAAAGAAAAAAAAAAAAAATTGAATTTCAAGAGTTCAAGTAAAATATTTCAAACATCATACAAAATCTGAAAAAGAGAATTTCCAGACTTAATAACAAAACATTTCACACTTCTGTCAGCTATTGTGAAATCGTTCAAGACAGGTTAAAATGTGTTATCAATTCAATTAGTTTCCTTTTATAACTGATATATCAACATACAATCTGAGCTCATGAAACAGCTATTTGTTATATTCCACTCTTAGAATGGTATACAGATGCAAAATTCTAACAACTATGAACAAAAGAATTATATGCTCATTAAACTGGTGCTACTTTGGTAGAAGTTTGCACGGATTTTGGCGATTTTTTTTCTGGCGAGCTATACGACTTATGGTAAGCCCATTGCAGGACAAGCTATTTATGGTAATCGATACTTTGTTGTCATTTTATTTTTAAAATAATGCATTTTATTATGCATAAATTCCATGTTTTAAATATTATTTATGGCTTCTAAATATTGAAAATCAATTTATTTTTGCATTTTTCTTTGAAATAAAAATTTATTTAAAGATATTTTATATAATTTTATGTTGTTGTGAATGATGTAATCAATGATGTCATCTTACTTTAAAAGTAATTGGTTTTAATATCTATAAATTTAATCTAATGTTTTAAACATTATTTATGGCTGTTAAACATTAAAATATAATTTAATTTTGCATTTTTTTGAAAAATGATTTTATTATGAATGATTATTTAAATAATTTTAATTCTATGCATGATGTAATCAGCTCCCTGATTGATTACTACATATTTGTGCATTACTGCACCATTTTAAAATTTTATTATTCATCTCTTCGAATTCCTTAGATTTCAAAGCGAATGGATATGTCCGTTTTGAAGATGAATGTTGTTACTGGTAACTACCAAGAATTATTAGTATCGGAATCAAAAAATTGTCCTTTGAGACCTTATTTTGGCCAACCTGGCTTTCCTAATCAAAGATTTATTTATAAACTGTTACAAGGGTCAGAGGAAATTTATTTAAAATTTTTGGAGGAAATGTCCTTAATTGCTTCTTCAATGATGTCCGAGAGATGTGGATCACATATGAAGATCGTTAAAAGAGATGATACTGAGGACGGCCATATATGGTATTGTGGTCACGGTGGAAGAAATAACCGCTATAAGGGTAAAAAATATATTAGACATTCCTCCTTTTTTACCGACAAATTTTTTTCATTGATATCTAAACTATGATTTCGATTTATTTTGCAGTACTTACGAATATATAAAACATAAAACACTAAAAAAAATTTAAGTACATATTTTTCTTTTACTTTATAACTGTATACTTCAATTTTTTTAAAAATTAATATACTGTTTTCAAAAATTGCTCAGATATTTATTGCCATATGTGTTTTAATGTTAAATAATTATATCCTGTAAAACTTATTTTAAAGTATTTGAATTTAAGAAATATTTTAATTCTTTTAAACATTGGTATGATGTTTTTAATTCGATATTCAATTTAATCCAATTAAACATTGGTGCAATGTTTTTATAGCGGTGTTTTTATTCTATTTCTTTGCTATATGAAAGTAATAATTTAACCTTATTTTAGTATTTCATACTCTTAGTAAATGTATTTACATTTGCCAGCCATCTTAAAAAACAACGTTTTCAACAAAAAAAAAAATTAATCCATTATTTTTAACGATATTTATTTTTTTAAAGTTTCAAATACTTTACTATGCATAATACATAAAAACCGAGTTTTTCAAGATGGCTGACGATTGTAAAAACTTCGCCAACAATTACGCCAATGTAAATCGCCAAAAATCCGTGCAGCCGTCTACCGAAGAAGCACCATTATTCTTTCAATAATATGATATTTCAAAATCTAAATTTAAAAATTACATTCTTTTTTTCAATTGATAAATTTGAAATGAAATGATCAAAGTGAAAATGCATTGAAAAAATGTAATTTTTGCAAAGTATTTTTATTTTCATTATTTCATTTTATTGAACTTAATATGTTTTTGTTATCATTACAAAATTTATGCTTTGTATAGAATAATGTGGGTGCACTTTTAGTTTTTATAAACTATTTATTTATAATCACAGAATGTATTATATTACAGAGAACTGCAATACCTTATTACATCTTCAGTTTTTTTAAAGAGTTCATTTTTTTTTAAACAGTCTAAAATCAGTCCAAATACCTGGCCGGCTATCTAATCACTCTCCCACTTCTAGTTCTTTGCTCACTGTTCCTTGTTTCTGTGTTAGCAAAATTTGGTAGTTGATCTTCTAAACTTTGCCCTTGAGAATATCTGGAATCATATCCTTTTACATCTGTTTTCTGTGCATTAACTCCTTGTTCTGTTCCTTTGATATTCTCTTCAACAGCTAAATTGTTTTCTCGAATGTCTTTTCTATTTTTCTCAATACTGATCCACCTGTCTTAGTATATATGATCTAGGCATCTTATATACTTCTTCTACAACTGCTGGTTTCCAGCGATTATCTTGATTTACCCTAACACGATCCCCTTTATTTAGTTGACGGTAATGTTTTTGTATGACGATCATAATATGACTTCTGCTTAGTTCTTTCTTGGTTGATTTTTTCTTTTACATTTTTCACAACTTGAGGTTTAAGTAATTCTTCCGATGTAGGAAGAATCCTTCTTGTTCTTCTACTCATAAGTCGTTGAGCTGGTGATCCTAGCATCTCATTAGCTGGAGTGTTCCTATGAGCTAACAATGCTAAATAAGGTTCAGCATGATCTGCTTGAGCTTTCTTTAACAATTTCTTTGCCGTTTGTACTGAACGCTCTGCTAATCCGTTCGACTGTGGATGGTATGGACTGCTTGATATATATGTTTAAATTTTATTTCTTTGCAAATTCTGCAAATTCTTTACTTGCAAACTGAGGTCCATTATCAGATATCACTATCAATGGCATACCGTATCTTGGAAAATGAGATTTCATGTAACTGATCACTGTCTGACTTCGAGTATCCGGTAGTTTGGAGATTTCAAAAAAGTTGGAATAGTAATCTACAATTAATAAATATACATCTTTGTTAATCTCAAATAAAGTCGCAACTTTATACCAAGGTAAATTGGGAATTTCATGTGGTTTCATAGGCTCTCTTATGTTTTTGTTCTGGTATTCATTACATATAGAACATTTTGAAATTTTATCTTCTATCTGCTTGTTCATAAGTGGCCAAAACAAAACAACTCTAGCTCTTTTTTTACATTTTTCTATACCAAAATGATCCTCATGAATTAAATTGAACATTTCCTTTTGCATAGATAAAGGAAAAATTACCCTTCCTCCTTTGAAAAATAAGTCATTTTCCATTGTCAACTCATCTCTGTAGTCCCAAAATACTTTGACTTGAGGTTCTACCTGATGTTTCCTTTCTGTCCAGCCTCTCAGTATATATTTCTTTAAGCACTGTAGTGTAGCATCACATTCACTTTCTTTCTTCAATTCATAAATTTTGTCATCAGATGCTGGAATCAGTGTACAAATTTCTGTATCTTCATCATTATCTTCTTCTGTTGTATTCAAATATTGCTCTACTCAAAGTGTCTGCTATTAATAAGTCTTTCCCCTTTTTGTATCGTACATCTAGATCATATTTTTGTAAATTTAACAGCATTCTTTGCAATCGCTGTGGTGCTTTAAAAAGAGGTTTCTTAGTTATGCTTTCTAATGGTCGATGATCAGTTTCAACTGTAATACGTTTGCCATATATATATTGATGAAATTTAGAACATCCAAAAGTAATAGCTAAAAGCTCTTTTTCTATCTGAGCATAATTTTTCTGACTTTTTGTTAGAGCTCTGGAAGCATAAGCAATTGGTTGGTTTTCTTGTAGTAAAACAGCACCTAATCCTTCAGAACCTGCATCTACTGAAAGAGTTCCTTATTAACATCATTATTAACATCATAGAATTTTAATACAGGTGCTTTTGCAACCAATTCTTCAAGTGCTTTGAAAGCTTTTTGATGCTTTTCAATCCAGTGCCAGAGAACATTTTTCTCAAGTAACTGCCTTAATGTTGCAGTAATAGTAGTTAAGTTAGAAATAAATTTGGCTAAATAATTAATTATTCCCAAAATCTTTGTAGCAAAGGCAGATCTGTAGGTTCTGGCATTTTAACACTTGCTTCCACTTAGAAAAATCAGGTTTTTAGTCCATTTTCACTTAACTCGTGCCCTATATAATTCACACGATTAACTTTTATTTTACATTTAGCCTTATTGAACTTCAAATTATTTTCTCGTGCTCTCTGGAGTACTTTTTTAAGTCGTAGCTCATGTTCCTTTTCATTAGATCCCCATATTAAGATATCATCTATAATACATTCAACGCCTTCTAGACCTTCTATTATTTGGCTTAATTTTCTTTGGCAAATTTCTGGAGCTGAACATATGCCAAAAGGTAGTCTTTTAAATTTGTATCTGCCAAAAGGTGTATTGAATGTACACAAATTACTACTTTCTTCGTCAAGCTGGATTTGCCAAAAAGCACTATTAGCATCTAAAACAGAAAATATTTTTGCATTCGGCATTCTAGTGACAACTTCATCAATGGTTAACATAGGATAATTTTCTCGTTTTATAGCTTTATTTAAATCTCTAGAATCTAAACATATTCTTATTTTGTTCGGTTTGACAACTGTGACCATTGAACTTACCCATTCAGCTGGTTCTCTCACTTTTTCAATAACATTTGAATTTTCCATTCTTTGTAATTCTTTCTTAACTTTATCTCGTATAGCTATGGGTATTTTTCTTGGAGGATGAATTACTGGTGTTGCATCTTGTTTTAACTGGATCTTATATTCTCCATTCAAACAACCCAAGCCTTCAAATACATCTTTGTATTCCTCCAGTAAGTCTTCGGTGTAAACAGACATTACTTTTTGAATCAAACCTAGTTGCAAACATGATTTTAATCCTAATATAGAAGGTACTTCTTTGTCAATAACTTGGAATTCTGCAACATAATTTTTTTTATCCTATTGGCAGTTAAGTACTACTTTTCCTAAAGTATAAATCTTATTCTCAGAGAATGTAACTAATCTTTTAATTTCAGACTTCTGTATAGGAACATTTAGCAATTTCACTTTGCTTTTAGAAATAACATTGCACATTGCTCCAGTACCTAACTGCAAACTTAGTTTACTTTTATTTACATTAACGTCAACAGTCCATTTCTCTTCCTCTGGTTGTTAATGTTAAGTCTCCATGGTTAAGTTGTTTTCTGAGTTAAGGTTTAATGAGGTCTGAGTTAAGGTTAATGTCTCCATGGTTAAGTTGTTTTCTGAGTTAAGGTTTAATGTGCCTACATAAAATTCTAACTCTTCCTCAGTCATGATTTATTAATTTAATTTGTGTATCTTTTTTGTTTACCTTGACTGCTTTATTTTTTATGATATAGCTTTTACACTGATTCACGAAATGATTTGCCTTTTTATACTTATGACAGATTTTTCCATATGCTGAACACTTTCGATACTCATGAGATGTTCCACATTTAGAACAAACTTTTGTCTTTTGTTTCTCGGTATTTACCTCTTTGTAGGTATTCTTATTATGTTTACTTAGTTTCTTTTTCACAAAGTTTACAACAGTTTCCTCATCTTTTATGTTTTTCATTTGATGTGCACTTATTTCAGCAGATCTGCATATATTAAGGGCTTTTTCTAATGTTAATTCTGTTTCATGTAACAATCTTGCTCTCACTACATCATCTTTAATACCACAAACAATTTTATCCTTTATTAAACTATCCGTTAATTGTGCAAACTCGCATGTTCTAGCTTTTTTTCGAAGGTCAGTTACATATTCATCTATGGTTTCTGACGCGGTTTGATTTCAAGTAAAGAATAAATGTCTTTCATATGTAATGTTTCTTAGGAATACAATACAGTCAAAAGTCGTTAATTCGGACACCCATAATCCGGAATGATCTATAATCCGGACCTCAAAGCTAAAAACTTTCTGCGCATGCGTCGTGTTGACACATGCGCATAGCCGTTTACGCATGCGTGTAAGACCTTTACGACTGTGCATATGTGTGTGCGCAAGCGCAGAATACATTTTCGCGTGCGCATTTTATGTATAACGGACGGTATAAGCTAAAATTATCTAATTGTCTATTTCAGTGAATGTTGATGATTGCGTTGTTCCTTAATCTTCGAATTGGATCCGGCTTATTATTTTTTGCAGAGTGTAAGAGCAATTTTATAAAAGCAAACTTGAACTTTTGATTATGTCAAATAGAATTTCCGATGCTGGAGCTCCCAAAGGATTTACAAAACGAAAGTATGTTTCGATGTCCATCAAACAAAAAGTGGAATTGCTGCAAAAAATAGATAAAGACATGAAGAAGGTGACAGAGAGGTTAGTGAAAACGAAAAATTTCGATTGACAAGTTAGTCGGTATTCTCGGCACAGCAATTACGGGACTTGAACAGTGGAACTTTGTAACTGAACAAGAAATTATGTCTGTTTATAGAATTAAAGAGAAAGTATTATCACATAAAACAAAGCAACTTAAACAACTTACATTGAAAGAAATGTTTAATAAAGTAAACAAATAAATATTAATTAATCCTTGCCACATGATACTTATGATGCTAATGATGCAAGTACTTAGATAATATTTCAGCCAATAATAACACTAAATTTATAGATTAAAACCTTAATTAGGGAAAAAAGACAAAGTCAGATCAAAACTGAATTATTTTTAATGTATGCTTTTGAAGCATAAATATTCTTCTACTTCTCTTTCTTTAATTATATTATTATATGGATGTAAAAAAAGCAGAAATTATCAAGAATGGGCATAAAGATTGTGTGCATTAATCTGCAATATTTTATGTTAAGAATAGATTTTTCAAGAATAAAAAGACAAACTGGCAAATTGGCCACAACAGCTGGTAGCATCTTTATGCACCATCACTCACTCATCATACTTCTATATCGAACATTATGAAAAATTATTATTAGTACTTTATTAGCAATTATTACTATTATTATTAATAATAACTCAGTGGGGCATCAGCCCAGAAGGGCTATTAGTCTCAAAAGCATTTTGCATCAAATAATTTTTGAAATTGTTGCCACCAAATATAATCATCCTCTACTATATTTAAAAAAAATTATATAATGAAGAATCTGCATAAATGTATATATGTTTCTCGCTAAAAAAACAATGGCACTTTAAGCCACCAAATTTTGAATAACTTAGTTCTTCCCCAGAAAACGGGCACCTGAAAGCCCAAACTTTGAATTTTTAATTTATTTTAATATTTATTTCATATTTTGTAAAACTTTAACAAATTTCTGTTTAAAAAAACTCAGTTTTTTCAAAGCGAGCAGTGGCAACACTGCATGGGGGGGGAACACTTTTATCTCCGGCACGCAAGACTGCGTATTAGAAATTTTAAAGGTATCCTCTTTTTAAATATTTTGTGATATTGGTGTTGAATTGAATTTTATGGTTTAAGTGTGAAGAACATGATATTTAACAAATAAAGGTAACGCATAAAATGCTAAAAAAATGCCCCTTTGGGCATAATATAAAATCTGAAAGCTTTCAGATTATTATTATCATTATTATTATTACTTACTTAGCAAAACGGAAATGTATTAGTGGCATTCATATGTATGGACATACAGCATGTCCGATCTCTAGACACAAATGTAGACAGCCAAACAGACAGATTTTGAAATAACAGAAACAGCATTAAGACTTTTAAACAATTTCCATAATTTTTGGTACTTCGATTATTCACACCCTAAGTTTAAACATTGAATTACTTCTGGCAAAGATATAGTCTACTTGTAGCTAATGTCAAAAACCTAAGTGTCATCTAAACATTTTATGGCAAGAATCATTACAAAAAATATTTGTTTAGCTATGTAAATCTAATTAATTAGATGATTTATTTATTGAATATGTATAATTCATAAAGGGAAATTATTCCAATTTTTAAGCAACTGGTATTTAAAATTTTATTTGTAAATTAATTACTAGATATTAATATGAAAACTTGTATGAAGGTCGCAGCTGAACAAATCCATCAGCTGTAAAAGTGTAAAATCAACCATACAGAACTCTTTTTTCACTCATCAGATTTCTTGCTACTAAAAAATACTTCTTTTTTATTATTATCATTGACCATGAGCTCTAAAGCTGAACACATTTTTCATGTCAATTTGTAAAAGTCAATAATTTGGCACTTTTTTGTAGAGATGCAGATAATAAGAAAGTACCTAAATTTTAAGCTTAGTATTATATCTTGGAGAAAATATTCAAAGAAAAAACCCCACAAATGTGATATCAAAGAAAATCCCATGTCATATCATTTTCATCTAAAATTTTCAATATTTCAATAGTTTCCTTATAAAGCATCTAAAATTTTCAACTTCTTGGGGAGAGGAGAGGAAACAAAAGGGTCACATAATTTTATAAGACACTATATTTCCTAATAACACCATTAAAAAAATCAAGTCTACAAAAAGAAAATAAAAAAAATTTTGAAACTTACATACCAGCAACCAACTTGATAGTTTCATGATTCGTGCAATAGGAAAAGAATGATGATTTATAATCATAAAAACCTACTTGTTGCAAACATATATAAATATATATATTTTACATTTTAGTTAGGTATTTATTCCAGAAATGTATCAGTAGACTAATGGATCATTTCTTTTGTGCTTTGGAAATTTTCTGGTGATCAGTTTGAGAACAAAGTAATCCTTTTCTTTAGCAATTTTGCAGCAGGATACCGTATTCCTGCAGGAATTTTACTGCAATTTATTCCATTGCAGGTAAATCTCACATCTGCATTTTTAAAACTGAATTTAGGACAAAAAAATACAGCAATTTGTCTGTAAAAATAGTTGGAATTTAAAATACAAATAGCTAGGAAAATAGCAATATTTCTAAAGTGAAGAATTTTTACATGTATAGTCGTTTGAAGAAGTAATTACATTCATGATAGACAGTTTGGTACATTCTGAAAATTTAGCAACTTCTTCTGAAGGAATTATGCAAATGTCTAAGCATCAAACATAAACCAGATTACAAATAATCAGTAAAGCATACATATCACTGAAGAATTATGAAAGACCTTTTTTCCAATTATCTTGAATTATTAAATATCAATACTGTGAAACAACAAAACTCAAAAATTAGATTTGGAATTGATAAAAACTATAAATAAAGAAATTAATGATAAATTATGACAAACAATGCATGAAAATATTCAGTTTGAATGAAATCTCCAATCATTTTAGGATTCTATTAAAAAAATTGCAATGGCCTATTATACTTTCTACATACTAAGTAATAATGACACAATTCAAATAAATATCCAGTTTATACATCTATTTTTGAAAATGATACATTCCAAATTACCAAATTCGGTTCACCATTGACAGTAGGAACAAAGGAAAATACTTACTGAATTCAGTAACTTGTATCAGATCCTGAAAAAACACAAAAAAATAGACATATGAAAATTGTCATAAAAAATAAAATTATTTGCAACAAAGATATTTGTTGGTTACTTGTGTATTTGGTAAACCCTAGAAGCTATTCTGAATTCTTCTACAAAGACAAAATTTTCATTTTTATTTTCATTCATTGTTATTCTTTCTGCTCCTTATTTTTTTTTTGGAGAGGTAAGGGAGCAAGGGAGGTTAAGGGAGGCTTCCTTTTTTATTATTTCAATGTCAGTTTACAGATTGCATTCACATGCAAATAATGAGAATGTCAGTTCCCCCCCCCCGACTGACATTCACATTCAAACAATGGAACAAGTGAGGAGATCAGCAAAATTGGCAAAATAAGTGACAGCATGTTACAGCTCATCATCACTTGCCTTCTTACTTACCAGAGTTTATAAGAAAGCAGAGAACTTAAAAGAATTATATTCTGTTCGGTACCACTTTGAATGCGATTTACAAACAATACATGCCAAAAATTAAATATAAAAAAAAGATTTCTTCGTTAAAAGACACCATTAGATTGTTTACTGTGTACTAGCAGCAGCAGCAGATGACCAACAAGTACGAAAATAATTTTAAAGCACACAATATTTTGATCATTTGTTATAATTCAACATTTATATTAAAAATATGTTTTATTAAATACAATAATACACAACAGAAAAAATATATATATATAACAACATTTAAAAACTACTGAATGATTTTGACAAACTGTTTACAAGAGAAATTCACAAATTTAAACTGCCAAATCATTGCAAAATCATAAAAAATATATATTATAATTAAGTTTTACATGAGAATAATGAATTAATATCAAAGCACAGTAAATTATTTTTGAGTATCAAAACAAGCTCGGATATATGAACAATGAGTCAGTCACAATGAGTAACATATTGTGCATGATTTCAAATCCCTTTATCATGAAGTATTTAAATTTTTTTAAATTTCTTTTAAAAAGATCATTTTTCTCAGTTGCAATATGCATATTATACCTGTCAATCAGTACATAACGCTAATAATGTATGCCTCTGATTTGAAGTGTGATTCTATTCAGATCCATCTGGAGTCACCTATAATTAAATTATATTGTTCAGGTCATTGATTAGGCATACATGAGAAGGAATGGAAATGCAGTTCATATTTTCACTATCTTTGAAAAATATAACACTTTGAAAACAATGACCAAGTCCAAAAGAAAAAAGTTTATTTTACAGTTACAGCACACATTCAGTATGCATGCAAACTCCAGTAGCATGTCAAATGCATAATTTAATGTGATTAATAGCTGCACAAAACAGTTCATTAGAAATATCAGCAACATGTGATGCTATGCTGGCCTTAGTCTGAGGCTGAGAATGTAACCTTTCCTGATAAAATAATCTTTCATAATTCCCTATAACCAGAAGTCTCAAAGGCTCAAGTATGGACAGGAAGGTTAATGATGCAATAAACTTAAGGAAATGATGCAACAACCACAAAAGCTGGCACAAGCAGTCCCTTCAACTATTAACCAACATGAGGTATTGCTCGATCTGAATGAAAACTCCAGTTTTTAAACATCTCTTTTAAGGAGTTAAATGTGATTTATACTTAGGATGGTATACCTTACTGGATCATTGGGTTTGAAATCTGACAACACATATGTAAACAGCTATGAAAGCACATTGTTCAATCCTTTAATCAAAATGTAATTGCTTTTCTTGAACCAGAAAATCCAACACAACCTCACAAAATATTCTAGAACTTTTTCACCACTCCAGTTTCTCTTCTCTAGAAATGTATCTTTATAATATAAGACTGTCCTCACCATCCTCTTCTAGCTACACTACTGTACACAAAATCCTAAGTACAAAATTTTAATCACAACTGATTGAAACTCCTAAAAAATTCTCAAAATTTTCCTCTGGCATCATAATTATTTTTAAATTATTCAGATTAAAAAATAAGTTCTATATTTTGAAAATACAAACATTTAGATTAAAATGCTGAATTAATATGCCAATTTTTAATATTTTAATAAATTTTAAGAATCAAAATAAGAGAGAGTTAAAGTAAATTTAAAATTCACTAAGAAAAAATAATTTTGCTACAAACTGAAAACTAATGCCAGACTTCAAACCCAAATAACTCAAAAACTGCATTTTTACACTTCATAAAATTTGGTATTTATATACTACTTAAAACAGTTTTTCTCAAACTTTTGTTCTTCGCACCCCGTTTTATTTCGAAAAATTTTGGCCCCCTAATCCTAGACCTAGGAATTCAAATAACACTAGGCAACACTGTCTAGTCTAGAGCACAGAATAGTCTAGTCTAAATGCTGTTGCAAAGTTCGCATCACATATCCAAGCATCCTGACCTTTCTCAAACTGTCTGAATTCAAGCAGCACGACTATAAATAGAGCAGCACACGTGATATTCTCAGTTCAGGTTTTCTAACACTAAGCAATATTATTGTGAATTATAAGTAGATGTAGTTATGGATAAATTTTTTAAATGAAAACTTGATGATGACGTGGCTTGTGCATTGATAGATTCAAGTGGAGATTGTTCAAAATCTAAAACAAGAAACTATGACCAATCATATCTAAATTTTGGCTTTACTATCCTTGAAGTAGGTGGCGAAGAAAAACCTCAATGTGTTATCTGTTTAAAAGTATTGGCTGCAGATAGCATGAAACTAAATAAGTTGAAGATGCATCTAGAAAGGCTGCACAGAGAATATGTCAATAAACCGTGTGATTTTTTTGAGGAAAAACTGAGATTGTTTAAACAACAGAAGCCAAACTTCCATAAAGTGCTGGCAGTAAATGAGAAGGCTCTCTTGACATCATACAAAGTGGCTTACAAAGTAGCTAAATGCAAAAAAAACCACACTATTGCAGAGCAAATCATTTTACCAACTTGCAAAGGCATAGTAGAAATAATGGTGAAAATTTTGCTTCAAATATTAACAATATTCCTCAAACAAATGATACAATCTGTTGATGAATTAATGATATATCAGTTTATATTCAGCATCAACTTTCTGGCGCAGTGTGTTTCGGTGTGAACACACCAAAAATATTCCCTCTTTAGACACTGAAAATAATCGATAAATATCACAAAAACTATACTAATGGTTATTTTTAAGCTCTTTTATGAATAATAGATGGCAGCACCACACAAGCAAATCATTAACATTGAGATATATTCTGTTTTTAAAGACACTGATTTTTCAAAGAAATGTTTAAGATTTTTTTTTTTTTTTTAATATAAAGAATATCAATGAAAACAAATCTTTATATAATTTTGTTGTTCATATGCTAATCTGCCTATTCTGTATTACTTTTAATTTTTATCTTTGAAATATTACGTATAGTGAAGCCTTCAGTGTATGGTGTGTTCGGACTGAACACACTGTACTGGTAGAGCCTTCACGTGGGAGTGAGTCACAGAATCTGGTCTCATGCTTCAAAGACGGGGAAGGCTGAGAGTGCAGATTTATTTATATTTGTTTTTATTCTTTTCTGTTTTTGATTTTGAAGACCCCGGTGCTTTGTTTTCACTTAGCTACTTGATTTTCAGCGAGAGCAGACCATTTTTTCCTCTGGCTTTCATCGTGCGTAGTTTGCTCAGTTTTGATTTCTGTAGATTTTTATTTTTATGTATATATTTAATAATTATTTTTTCTTGTCAATAATTAATTGTAAATATTAAAGGATTTTAATTATTTTTCTTATAAATTTTAAAATTGTGTAAATGGCTCGGAGAGGCCTCAGCATTGCCGAAGCAACGAGTTTCCTTTTTTGGGGGGTGTAGAGTAGCAGACCTCCCCATGGTGCACCCTGGGTTATGCTAAATCTGCTACAGAGATCAGATTCTACTGTTTTTAAATTATAGACAAAGTATTTTACTGTAATACGTGCTTCAAAGCAATGCTCAACTATCGCAGGTCGTACGACTCAATGTGTTTGCTTCGGACACACCTAGAAAATGGAAACGGTTTGTGCAATCTTTGTAAAAATATACAGTCCAAAGTCGTAAATTCGGACACCCATAATCCGGAATGATCTATAATCCGGACCTCAAAGCTAAAAACTTTCTGCGCATGCGCCGCGTTGGCACATGCACACAGGCGTTTTACGCGTGCGCGTAAGACCTTGACTACTGCGCATATGCATGTGCGCAAGTGCAGAATACGTTTTCGCCTGCGCGTTTAATGTATAACGGACGTTATAAGCTAAAATTATCTAATTATCTATTTCAGTAAATGTTAATGATTGCGTTGTTCCTAAATCTTCGAATTGGATCCGGCTTATTATTTTTTGCAGAATGTAAGAGCAATTTTATAAAAGTAAAGTTGAACTTTCGATTATGCTGGAACTTCCAAAGGATCTACAAAACGAAAGTATGTTTCGATGTCCAACAAACAAACAGTGGAATTGCTGCAAAAAATGGATAAAGGCATGAAGAATGTGACAGAGAGGTTAGTGAAAGCGAAAAAATTTCGATTGACAAGTTAGTCGGTATTCTCGGCACAGCAATTAACGGGACTTGAACAGCGGAACTTTGTAACTGAACAAGAAATTATGTCTGTTTATAGAATTAAAGAGAAAGTATTATCACATAAAACGAAGCAACTTAAATAACTTACATTGAAAGAAATGTTTAATAAAGTAAACAAATAAATATTAAGCTTTTTTTTTTTTTTTTTTTTTTTTTTTTTTTTTTTTTTTTGTAAATTTTTGATACACTTTAGATCATAATTGTTTTTTATTTCAGAAATTACGGTTTCATATTTTTAATTTTAGAATTTCTGCATGCCATCTTACAAGATTTAAACTGATGATGTATAATCCGGAAAAAATCCGAAGTCCTGACGAGTCCGGATTAACGACTTTTGACTGTACCTGCATACTCTCCTAAGCCTAAATAGACTGCCTAGAAATTTTTTTTGGTAAAATTCAAGTTTAAAGAGTAATGTGCTGGAAAGG